GTTGCCGGTCACGAAAAAAAAAAAAAACAAAAAAACAAAAAAAAAAAAAAAAAAAAAAAGTCCAACCTACTTTTCAGAAAATCTATTGGAGGAGAAGTGATTAATTGCATAACATCATACATATCCTATAAATATCAGGGGATTTTATAGGTAGGTAGAGTTTGTGCTACATTATGAGAACATGGAATAAAATAAAGCATGAATGGAAACACAAGATGATTAACATTTCTCCCTTTCATGTGAGAAACTTGGGACAGCAGAGGGTGATTTAGCATGGATTTTGGAGCTATAGCGCCTGGTTTCGTTTTCTGTCTCTCTTAAAAGCAGAGTGACTATGGGCCACTTAAGTTCACTGTGTCTCAGCATTCTCATTTGTAAAGTGGATATTAACAGTAGCTTATTGCTTAGGATTGTCTTGAGAAGAAGTTAGAGACACTGTTTCAAATCATTCTGGTGGAGAGGGAGCTGTGTAGTAAGTTAACAAATACATAACAGAAAGCAGATGAAATGCTCTAGAAGGAAGATGAAAGGTAAGTACTGTGGGAGGGCAGATCTCACTTGATCAGGGGCAAGGAGCAGAGAAAATGGTGTGACAGTTTGATAGTCAGTCCTTGATATGGCCCTCTTTGATATCTGGCCAACTAACTGTTATTGCCTGGTATAGGGAACCCTCTCACCCCATTGGGTACTCATGACCTATAAATTTATTTTGTCATCTGCTTTAGAAAACATATTTAACATAGTAAATTTGCTTAAAATAGTTGTTCATTCCAAAGCCAACAGATGGTATTTTAATTGTCCAAATAGATAAATTCTTATTTTTTCCATCTGTTTACTCTTTGTTGGTGATATTACTGGCTACTTCTCTTGGTGGTGAGTTTACCAGATTGACTTGAATCTATAGGAAATTTTTTCTCTAAAATGAGATCACTAATGGCTGGCCGGTTACTCAGTTGGTTAGAGTGCAATCTCATAACACCAAGGTCATGGGTTCAGATCCCTGTACCGGCCAGCCGCATAAAACATCAAAAGCAACCCCCTCCCCCCCCAAAATAAACCAAGTAAGATCACTAAAAAGCTTCCTAAAAGTATATCAGTTACAACCAGGAATTTGATACATTTCATTGGGTAGGGATAAGTTTACCTATGCATAATCTAAAAAGTTTATTTACTATCTGTTCAGGAAAAATAAGAATTTACAGGCATGTTAAACTATTAAGGGAACAAACTGTTAATATATTTTTGTACATGGCTATGTACATGCCTATTTTAAAATTGCGATTAAACGTTAGTTATTAATGAAGTTACTCTGACAGGGAATTCTTATGTGTTAGTTACATAGTTTGTATAGTACTTGAAAATAATAAAAACTGAAAGGTAAAAAGTATTTCATATTTTCCAACAATTTTCATTAGCCTACTTGTGAAATTATCCAGGTTAGGAAGACCTTTCTTCATTAAAGTGAGGTGGCTCTGTGTTTCTGAAATGGAAGATTTAGGTTAGAGATGCCATAAGTATACGAAAACAAACCTTAAATGGGGGATGACGTATTGAATTTATGGGAATGTATTTCAAACTTGCTGTTTCCTTGTGGTAGTATTAGAAGGCAACTTAAACCACAGGGTCACTGTGCAATTTAAACACAGTGCTCATTTCAAGGGGAATGGAGTTGAATGTGAAAATTATTTGATACAATGTACAGGTAACACTTCCGCAAATTGTTTTGCTGGTGTGGTTTTGTATGGAGACCCACACAAGACTGCTGTCCCTGGGAAGACTGTGTGAGAGGATGTGGGACTCCAGACAACTAAGCACACGTGGCCTCAGTCTAATAAAATCAGAGGCTCCTCAAATTGTTCCCCAGTGCGCCTCTGTGAACTAATCCTATTCTAGCAATTCACCAAATTGCAGCTTCAGTTGTTTCTTTTACCAAAAACCGCTTAATTTGATAAAGTGATTGTTCTCATTTCTGATCTTTCCTATACTTTTGTCTCACATGTTCATTATTTTCTGGTTATTTCCTTCAAACTCTACTGGCTAAATTTGGCCTCTTTCTTATAAGCTTAAAAAAAAATTAGTAGGTTTAGAAAAGTTAAGAAATTCATCCTCCATAAAAGGACAGAGCCATGAATTAGTTGCCTACCTGCAAACTGATTTAAATATGTAATGGAGACAGTCCTGGGGGCTTTTCTGAATGAAGAGTCAAAATACAGTAATTTTATTAAAAATTACTTAATTCTCAAAACAACTCTCCTTACCAAACTAGAATTAACATCCTCCATTTTCACGTTTCATTTATCTGTTAAAATGATGGGATATTTTGCATATCACTGGGGTTGTAAACAAAATATGTTAAAAAGCTGTTAAATAGATACACTTTCTCAGACTGTAGTTACTGAGGATTTGAAGATCTTAGTAAGCAATATAAATTCTAAACTAGCAATCAAAACTTCAACAATTTTCTTTATGTAATGGTAAAGTTTATTTCCTTTTAAATAACGATTAGAGGACAAAATGTTTAAAATTTGAAGTTTAAAACATGCACATTCACAAAAGGCCAATGACACGTAACACTGCATAGAAATGAATATTATTCAAGTTTAATAACTATTTATAAAACACAGTGCATCGAACATCAAGATAAACAACCTGAGAAAACTACTATAATCACAGATGCAATACTCTCCACTCATGCAGCTTCACAATTTCTACAGCAGTTTCAGCAGAAATGGTTTTTCATGGAGCTGAAAATACTACTTTATCTTTAATGCAAACTGCAGATTTCCATAGTGGTTGCCTTCTAAGGCTGCTGTTCTTTAAAAAAATTTTTTTAGACTTAATAAACTTGAAAATGTGAAAAATGAAGCTTGAAGTAGTTAAACAACGAGCAGTATTTACTACATTTATGGCTTCTATTCTAGACTAGAACATAAAAATATATATCTTTTAATATTCTGCTTACATCTTTTCCAGAGATTTACCTATGGAAAGTTGCCGTTAATTCAAAGTAAGTAAATATGAAATCTAGCTTTTTTCCTACTTAAGGGAGATTTATTTGCTGAGAAGGTTTGTGAGCTTTATTAAGAAAAGTTCTTAGAGGTAAGCTCAACAAAAGATTCAATTAAATTTGTCTGAATTTGTAAAATAATCTACTGATTTAGAAAAGTTGTATCAAGGACCAATTAATTCATTCAGTGGAGGATCACTGAATATTAAATTCCAGGTATGCCGTGATAGAATTTTATAAGGCAGAAATAAACATCAAGATTTACAGCAATAGCCATGCATTGGTCTGGAGCACTTTAAATATTAATTCATGCAAACCATAAAACTATCAAAAACACAGCTGCTCTCATACAAAAAATAAATCAGGATTTAAAAAATGGAAAACATTTATTTCCTTTCCTCCAAAATTTAACTTACATTCCATTTTAATAGCTGTTGAAGGTTAATTAAAATGCTGCAAAGTATAACTAGGTTTCACAAGTGACTTCAGTTATTTTAATGTGAGAAAAATCAGACTATGGTAATCTTTAAGAGGCATTATAGAAATGTTCATCATTAAAAAGCTTTTTTTAGGCACTGAACTGCATGGTGTTACCTTCGGTAATTTACAAAAAGAATTCCATATACCTGGTCTCTGTGATGGGAATGGGCTGGGCATTTTCTTGATAAATTTTGTAGATGATTATAAGATTACAGTTTTAATGAAATATGTTTTAAAACCAGGAACTATCAAAGGGCAACTGCATGAAAATAAACACTAATGGTTGTTTAGCTTTGTAATAATTATGACATTGTTACAAATAATTTAAAACTGTGAATATACAACTTATTACTTTCTGTCTCACAGTCATTTCCTAAAAGAACATTTAGAATGACAGGTTATAAGTGTTGTATAGTGCACACAATGTAGAACGTATTACCATGTGACTTTATATTGGGTATTTAGAATGCTGAATTGCAAAATTAAAATACAAAATTTAATGATCAGAATAAATGCTGATTGAGTTCTAGAATTCATTTCCCCCCTGGAAATTAAGAGACGTCATTGATTCCATTTAATGAGCATACAATTCATGTAAATGGCTAACAACATTATTTAGCAGAATACACACTCACCTGATTTGATTAGAAAAAGTTTTCCATTAAGTTAGCAGCACTGCTGAAGCAGTCTCACAGAGCAGAGTGGGGGTGGGAGGACGGGAAGCACACATATCATTTAAAATTTACTATGTTCCTGAGAAACACTGTTTTCCCGCTAATAATTTCTACAGTGTAGCATCTTTCTGGGTGTGAGACACCAATATATTTTTATATGTATATATAAAACATTTAGAAAGTCCATGCTCAATATCACTGTGTACTATTCAACATTAAAGAAGAACTCCCAGCTTTTCAATGCTCAATGAATGAGGATTTTCTACTATAAGTAGTATTTTCTGAATTGTAAACATTGTAAAGCAACCGTTTTAGCATTTGCCAGAGACCCTATATGGGACTTAAGAGTGCATGTCCTTTAGTCCAGAAAATACCCGTTAAAAGTCACTTTGAATGTTTATTTCAATCCTGGTAAAACCATGCGACTTTTTTCCAATTAAGGAAGGTAAAAAAACCAGAGCGTTTTCTCTAATTTAACACTGTAAAGTTGCTGCAATGTTACATTTTTAGTTTTACCAAGGAGGTCACTCTCTGCCCACCCCCCTCTCCCCCCCTGTGCCCCCACTCAAAAAGCAAAGACATTGACTTAATGTCAATAATTCAAAAATAGGACTATGGGACAAAAAGGCATAAATTAATCACATTTCAGATGTTAGAACATTAAATTATTAGCCATGAGTATTCTTCTCATGATGAAGAGCTCCACAGAAACAATGCATATTTCAAGATAAAAATAAAACTTTTAGTTTTCTTGTCGAAGTCAGAAAATTCAGTTCTATTATAGTCATAATGTTTTGATGCTAATATTTTGGAAAAGGATGCCACCGATGAAGGAAGGCAAATGGAGTCAGCTCTTCTCTGTAACTGGTTTAAAGTGTTTTTCTGGAGGGCGGCCCTCCATTCTTGCTTTCTTGTTTTCTGTGGTTTGACCTCAGCTATCCCTGCTCAGAGGCCCAGGAAAAGCCTCTCTGAAAACCCATTCGGTAGACAGAGCTGTGACTTCAGAATACTGAAGATGATCTTAGACTCTTAAAGCTGTGGTCTTTCTAGATGTTTTGAATCATGGTTCTCTCCATCTGAACCCCAAACAAGAAGGGTCTGAGAAGTGATGAAAACTCCTGGTTCTCTTTAGGCTGGAATTCTGTATACATGTTACAACCTCTTATTTGTAGAAAATATGGAGGCATCCTGATAACTAAATAGCTACTAACACAGAGAAGAAAATAATATATATTCTCATTTTAAATCTAGACTGAGAAGAAGGGTGAAACAGAATGTGAATTTTTAATTTCAAGGGACAATTTGAAAAATCACCTCTCTTCTCAATCCTAGTTGACTTTTTTTTTAAAAAGAGGAAATTCTACCTATTTTGCTGGTAAATCCACTTAAAGGCAAACAGGCTTTTGAATAAAAGGCAAATAGTTTGCTCCGATCTCTGAAGTGTATCTGAAAACTATAATTCCTTTTCTTCTTTTTAAACATTATTTTAAAAATAGTATAGAAAACTGTGGTTTTTACAGTCCCTTCACCATTTAGCAAAATAGGCATTTGCAGGAGATGTCTGGAAAATGCCGAAAATAATTAAACTGAACATAAGTTTTAAAACGTAGTAATGAAACTTACACATAATAAAAAGTGTCCTATGACTCTAAAGATATAGGCTTAAGTACAATAGGTATTTTTAAAATGGGAAAAACGTATGACTTATTTGTTCCAATAAACAGCACGTGACTAATTTTGGGAACTGTTTGACAAGTGAACTGTAAAGAAATTTTCAGTTGTAGGTAAGAGACAGTTGCCATAACACTGGGTGTGCATAACACATAAGACAGCCATCTCTAGTGGGAACAAACAGTGAGAATCAAGACACATTACAAAAGCGGAGCCGATGTACATGACAAAAGCCCATGCATTTAGCCGACATGTTATTCCAAACATCTTGACAGAAGCTTTGGAAATCCCACATAAATATGTAAGTGTATTTTTCTTCAGAGGAAAACTTTAAGACAAAGTGACATCACTCCATCTATAGCGGAAGCCAAATTTTTAGAAAAATCCAAATAATGATGAAACTTTATCAGAAATGACTGAGACATAAATACAATTTAAAAAATCAGTATCATAACAAGTCACATTAACACATGTGCCCTCTAATTTTAACAAATAAAAAAGACAATGAAGAAGCATTTGTAAGGCCAAAGGTGCACAACATCACAGATTTTAGTAGCAAATGCCTTGAAATATTCATTTTTGCAAATCACTCTTACATTTGAAAACTCAAGCATGCAGCTCTTACAGCAGAACCGGAAGTAAGCTTTCTCTTAAATTTCTGGGCAAATGACTACTGCATGAGAAATACACTTACTGAACTTCTTTGGCAAACATTTATCAAGACAAACACAAACACTTGTTTAGAAATTTTTCTTAGTAAGGTGAGTCAGTTCCTTAAGAACACTGGTTTGTTTCAGCATATCCTGAAATCTACATCTGGATATCAAGAGTCCCTTTAACTCAATACTGTTTTAGAGCTTTTAAATGGCTGGTCACCTTGTGGTATAGCCAATAAATTGATAGTCAGTTACAGCCCCAGAGTAACGGCTTAAGAACACTGACCTATTCTCAGTTTAAGAAAGTACTCTGGCAAGATCCAAGGTCATTTTCAATTTCTCTTTACAGAGACTTAGCAGATACTTAAAAAGATCTGAGAGAGATGGTGTTACAGTAGAGTTGCACAGTGCTTATGTCTATAATATACATGAATCTGAATGTCCATCAGCAAGATGAGCTCAGATCCACTTTCCTCTCCATGGACCAGACTGGAATTGGTCAGCAGACTGCAGTGACAACCTGGTAGCTCTCCTTAGAGAAGTAGAAGGGCCTGCCTCTCAGCCCCTCCCCATCACCACTCATCGGACCTCTGTTTCGTGGTATCATATGCTCTAATTACTTCAGACTGTGAAACGATTCCATTTTCATCTTGAGAGAAGGCATACCCGTCTGTAAGTTAATGAAAAAGCAGGATTCATTATCATGAAGTCACTGGAAATTGCTCTTATTCTGAGTTTTGAGTATTCATTTTCTAACTTGGGGAACTAATGCAATCCTTTCCACCTTCAAGAGCATGAAGACACTAATTTTTAATGTCCAGAAAAGACACAGACTTAACTGGAAAATGAAGAATGGGATGACCGCAGGTTGTCAGTTTAGATTCTATGACTTCTGCTCCCTAGAAGATGGGGCAGGCACCCCCCCCATCTCCCTCAATCCTCTGTTCAGTTCTGCAAGTCCAACCCTCCCCATTTTTGCTTCTCCATGGCTGGAGAGGGTGGGCGAGTCTAGTTAAGTGGGCTTGTGTATTTCCACGTAGATTAGGTGGATGAGGGAAGGAGAAAGGATGAGTAGGTGAGGTGGTGATTAGCTTGATTCAGTCCTTCCACAATGTATACATATATCAAAGCATCACACTGTACCCTGTAACTGTGTACAATTATTATTTTTCAATTAAAAAAAAGTGAGGAGGAGATAACCACAAATAGCTGCTAATGGTGAAAAAGCGGTCTCCTTCCTTCAGAGGATATTCTCCTTGAATCTTGGCATCTATAAACAAACTCACTGATGCCCCAACATTGTTGCAGGGGCCGTGGGGATGAGAAACGACCCCCAAGGGGATTACACCCTTAGAAGGCCTCTTGAAGTGTAAAGAGCAAAAGCATTAAACATGAGTATATATAAATGAAAATAAATTACATATGAAAATGACATGAAACAAAAGATATATACTAACACAAATAAATTTACTACAGGGCTTTATATGTTATATTCTTTTTTAGATCCTTGAAATGTTGAGAGGGCATAATTCCTAATAATTTTTTACAACTCTAAAATATTCATAAATATTTTTGAAGGGGAAAATATATGTTTCTTTGTGTTGTATGAAAGCTGAAAAGGCTCTTGTAAAGCTATGCAAGAAAAGATAACAATACGGAGAGGCAGCTTTTAAGAGTTAAGATTTACTTTACTTTTTTTTTTTTTAAGATTTAAGGAAGCAAAGAATGTGGAAATTAGTACTACTGTTTTTCTTTAAGTGAAAGAGCAAAATCTTAAAATGCTGTCTCTTCTGTTAAAAGTGAGATAGTTGTGGCCAATGGCTTCTCTAACCATTTGTCATTTACATAACATGCTACAAAAATGCAAAACTTGTTTTAGATGTTAATTTTAAATAGTTAAATATATCTAAAGTCAAAGTTCTGCTCTGATAAAGGCTACGGTACAGTAATGACAGAGGATTTATTTAAAATCAGAACTCAAATACTTACGGAGAAGGTTTTGTTGCAATGATTCAGACCGGTACAAGTTCACATGGTTCTTCTTAAAGACGTTCTTGAGCAGTTGAGCCCTCTCGGTGAGGCTACAGAGCAGAGCAGGTGCAAACGTGTGAAATAAATTATCAGCTCAGCAGAGCCCGCAGTGTGCCCACAGGACCACCAAAGAGAGTTACACTTACACAAAAGATTGCTTGAGAAATCTGTAGCCTAGTGATTCTTTTTACCCCATTTTCTCAGATAGCAAATGAGATTTCAAGTATTTAGAGACACTTTTGAGGCCATTTTTTTCCATAGCGAAGGAGGAGTTTTGTCCCCAGTAATCCTCCTCCCAATAAAAAGATTTCCTTTCCCCCAACCCACCATGTTATCTTTTAGTCAAATGGAGATATGGAATTTGTACACCACAATTAGTTTAAAAAATACAAAATCATCCAGTAGTGTTATTAGCTTCTAAAAACTTTGTTGACTTGCTATGTATATTCTAAGCATGGCATTTTTAAAAATTAAAAACTCAATTATCACTATCTTTTTCATACTTTGTACATATTTTGGTGCAAAATAATACTTTATAGTTAAAAATATTAACTAAACTAAATAGTAACTAAAATTACACAAAGAAAAAAATTCATAGACTTTTTAATTAGAAAAATTCCATTACCATTCTAATATGGTATGAAATGTGTTCCTTAATTTCATTTTAAAATAAACTATTTTCAGAAAATAATTGTGCTAGTAAGATAACAAAGAAAATATTTATTTTTCAATGAATGTTTAGAATGATCTTCTCCACAGAAGTCCATATAATTCATTATGTAACTTATAAAAATACAAAAGTGCACAAAATAATGTATCTTTTCCCCCCACTGCACATAGAACACTGCCTCACACAGTAGGAACTCAAATATTTGTCAAATAAATGAATTTGAGTAATAATTCTCAAATACACCTGTAAACATCATCAGTCTTCCCAATCACATTTCTCCATTGGTTAATTTATAAAACCTTGCTTCAATATCAAAGAACATAATATGAACATCATGAACATAAGCATGAAAAGCAAATAAGTAATCCACGTACATTGCAGCAAATGTTTATGCAATTTTGTTTTAATAACTGGAACTGACTCAGTTGAAAAATTTCCATCTTGTGTTTTTCCCACTATAAAAGCTTTAGTTAAATGGCTGTAAATTATGTTAGTTCTGTACTTTGCCAGAGACCCTGAAATGGAACAATCTTTATCATATACAAAGAAAGGATCCTCTACAAAATGAACTCATTGTGTAAATGAATTATACAAACACTTAGGCAAAAACTGAAGGAAAAATATTTAGAAATGTTGACATTTGTAATAATCTTCCACACATTTTTAAAATCTAGAGATGTTAACTGGTACTTACCAGACATATTTTATTGTCATTGGGAATTAGTTACATTAAGGCAAGAAAACAAATTAATCTAAAACTCCAGTGGTTCTGTAAATAGTTGTAAAACTTATTTTTGTCAGTGATATAAGCAGCTATGAGGAATGAGAAAAGGCTATTTTAATGGGGTCACTCTTACTGTACTCTTTAAATGATCTAACATTACACACCCCAGGACCCTGGAGGACACTAAAATATGTAACTGCTTTGAGGAAGTCGGCAGCGTTAGCTGCAGGTGGTCTGATTTTGCTAGCAGTGCCTTGTGGATGGGGTGCTGGGAAGTCTCTGGTGTTTAACACTGAAATGACTACAGAACACTCTTCTTCCTGAAATACATCTTCCAGGTTTCAGGCTGGCCTTCCTAAATGCATAATACTTTAATACTAGAACACTCAAGTGTTAAGAAGGCAGACATGAGAATTTTATCTTTCATATTATGGCAACTGAAACACATAAGATAAAATAATTTTGTTTTATAACAGTTCATATAAGACTCTCACTCAGCTGTTACATCAAGTTCATAGTTCCAATGTTACAAAAAAAAAAAAAGTAATAAGAACATCTCTTTCTTGGGAATGTAGTACATTCCTCAGGAAAGAGCATGGGCTTTGGAGTCTAACTTTGGTTTAATTTTGAATCTGCTACTTATTAGCTGGGTCGCTGTAGGCAAACCTCTCTGGGTCATCTCATATGTAACAGGAGGGCAATGCCTAACTCTCAGGCAGCCTGTGAGGAGTCAGGGGGTTGTCAGCACAGTGACTGACACTTAGGAAGCACTCAGCAAATGCTGGTCCCTCCCATCCTCATCCCCTGGATCCCAAGGACTTTATTATTAAAAAAAATCAACTAGAACAGAGATCGTCACAAAACAAAAGGTACTTTGTAAAGGTCAACTTTGATGCCTTGGTTTATATTCAAGCTTAGCTCAATGTGAAAGGCCTAGAGTTGCACATGAGATTTAATTTATAATACCCCCATTCTACCTCTTTATTAAGAAAACTACTAGGTGGTTGTTTTGTTTTTCCCTGGCTACTCTGAGCTTTTTGCTTTAGCCCCTGTAGAGCAAAGAGGCCCTTCTCCAGAATATAAATGCCATTCATAGGAGGGAGCTTAACAAATAAGTGATGAGTTGTATTTCTCTAGCCTTATCCTACCATTAGGGAACTATGCATTATTTCAAAGTTTATGCAGTTCTGTGCCAATGATGTTTGTGGGTACTGATATTACTATCAAGTCATATTATAAAATTTAATGATAAATGCTAACATTAATAGGTATATTAAAAGTTCAGTTTTTGTCGAACAGCTTAACAGTATGAGAAGACAAAAGAAAAACAAGACTATGATACCTTCTCACTAAAAAAAACCACATTTTATTCACAACTCTTGGCTAGTAGTTTTACTCAATCTGATATTTACAACTGAAAGTTGGTCTTTCATTTACATACCAAGCTATGCAAATTATGAGTTTGTTTAATGCAATTACACAGCAACTACCACTTAAATATTGTTACCTTATTTCCAAGCCCACTAAAATGTCTCAACTTGAATTTTTGGTGTAGGTGAGTGGAAAGATACCACGTTTAAAAGTAATATTTCATCTAGAAACACTAAAAAATGTTAGAGTTGGTAAAATACCTATTTACCATCCTGGAACATGTTAGAACATGTTGTCTTAAGGTATTTTCCAGTGATCCTCCAAGAGTGGTAAATTTGCATGTGTCTGTATACTGGGTTGACAAGCTATTTTGGTTGACTCATTAAAATGAATCTCCAGGGCCGGCCCGGTGGCGCACTGCTACAGTGTGCTGCTTGGGAGCGTGGTGGCGCTCCCGCCGAGGGCTCGGATCCCACATACAGACCGGTTCCCGCTCACTGGCTGAGCAAGGTGTGGGAGCAACACCGAGGGTTGTGATCCCGTTGCCGGTCCCGGTCCGGTACGGGCGCGACACTGAGGGTTGCGATCCGTTGCTACAGTGTGCTGCTTGGGAGCGTGGTGGCGCTCCCGCCGAGGGCTCGGATCCCACATACAGACCGGTTCCCGCTCACTGGCTGAGCAAGGTGTGGGAGCAACACCGAGGGTTGTGATCCCGTTGCCGGTCCCGGTCCGGTACGGGCGCGACACTGAGGGTTGCGATCCGTTGCTACAGTGTGCTGCTTGGGAGCGTGGTGGCGCTCCCGCCGAGGGCTCGGATCCCACATACAGACCGGTTCCCGCTCACTGGCTGAGCAAGGTGTGGGAGCAACACCGAGGGTTGTGATCCCGTTGCCGGTCCCGGTCCGGTACGGGCGCGACACTGAGGGTTGCGATCCGTTGCCGGACACGAAAAAAGACAAAAAAAAAAAAAAAAAGAATCTCCAGAAAGTACAGGGTACTTCAAAAAATTTGTGGAAAAACAGAACTAAAATATAATGTGAATCTTTTCACGAACTTTTTGAAGTACCTCGAAAATAACTGTTCATTCGTGGGACGTGTAATGTACAGCTGTCCCTCGCTAGGCAGTGGTGGTGGTGAGGAGATAAGCAATAACATAACAGGCCTGATCTTTGCTGTGGAAGAGAGAACGTTTCATCATTCTGTCACTCTTGTTTACAGATGTTCGACAGGACCATTATACAGTGATGAGAGTAGACTGGGGGAAAACATTTGATATAATACCCCCGTCCTCAACCCCACTCCCCAAGGTATTTCTGTAATTCTGACATAAAACCCAGTATGGAAGTTGAGAAACAGCATTTCTTTTCTATTAGTCCGGAGGCGATGTTAAAATTGCTTCTCATTAAGCTAAACCAGGCAAGGAAAGGCTGGGGAGACACCATCGCCATCAACATGACCAAAAGATCTGATGCCTCATGTTCCTCTTATGCTAGGCTGGGACCAAACACTGCTGATGGACACATCAGAGAGGACTAACCTGAAGATCCCAGGCCAAAACTCTATTTAGTAATGGCTGCTGATGATATGCTGGCTAATGTCTATAGTTAGAAGTACAAATTATGAATCATGTTATCATACCTGCTTGTCTGTAAGATACATTGCTTCACGCACATGCCAAGGATATCTAAAAATAATTACCCTGTCTCACAGTGAGAGCTCACAGTGTCCATAATCCCCTATTTTAAGTCTCTGGGTTTTTAAATGTGCTTTTTTTTTGGTTTGTTTTAGAAAAGGTAAGATGTTACACACAACTTATTGACATAATCTAGGAGGCCCATATTCCAAAAATTAATATTTTTGCTACAGAATGTATATTTACATTGTGGAATAAATAAATACTATAGGTTGTCCTTACATTTACAGAACAAATGACTCTGGTTTTTCTAGCAAAGAAATTTTGAACTTCAGAGTTTTTTGGATTTTGGAATTGTAGATATTTCTGCTCTCTGATATTGGAGCATGCCCACATAAAAGTTCCAGCAAAGAACAGGGTTTCAGAGCTTATAAGCAATTTTCTCAACGAAAAATTAGAAGTCATTGCTACACAGTTGGTCAGGAGTAAGGTTTGGGTTATTCTCCTAATATTTTAGACTTAAATTGATTTTTACCGTAACCCATGGCTCAAAAGCAATATAGTTAGATTGATGAAACATACTTTTCCCCCTAAAATCTAATGGAATGTATCTAACACACTGGATAATATGGTAAGTGGCATACTATTTCTACTAGAAATGACTAATTACTTTGATCAAGTTGTTTTAATTTTTGAAAATGAAAAAAGATGAGAAATAAATTATTGTAAACATTAGCCTTCCTGCAGTGCTTACAATTTATAGTTTCTCTGACATATTTGCATTTCATATATAACTTGAGCTCAACAGTAGTACTTACTTAGTGAAGATTAAAAAAAATTAGAGATGATCAACTCACAAGATATTTCTGAAGTTAAGAATTCTATCACTTTATGACAAAAAGGTGAACAATCACTGCTTTGGATATTGCCTAGTTTGGGAAGTATAACATATAATTCTATGATTTTATGCATCAGAATTTACTTCACTGTCCATACGTCAACCATTAATTTGCCACCCACCACTCAACCGTTCTTTTGTCTGCCCATTCATTCATTCATTCCTTAGTTTATTCTCTTGACCATTCATTCATCTAGTCAACAAATAATGATCAAGCACTACTAAGTTCCCAGAGCTGCACCAGGTGATGGGTTGCAGCTATGACTAAGACATGAGCCTCTCCTTCAAGTAGCTCAATCTGGCAGGGGAAACAAACATATATAGGGTACACAAATACAATCTAATGCAATGTAGTAAATATAACAATGCAAGTTTATATAAAGCACAGGGAAAGTAGGCTAGGAATTATTTAGTTTTGGACATGAAAAGTCAAGGATTCTGCATCTGAACTGGATTTTGAAAGCTAGGAATTTGAGTGCTTAGTCTAAGAGGGCTACTGGCTCCCAAACAAGGGGACAGCATGTGCAAGGACTGGGAGATATAAAATAACATGGCATTTTTGAAGTAAAGGAAGTCTGGTATCACTAGAATATACATTTCCTGTATTTCTCCCCTTTTGACAAGGTAGATAAAATTTGCTAACTTTTTTGAAATTTGACATCAATTTTTTTTTTGTCTTTTTCCATGTCCGGCAACGGATTGCAACGCTCAGTGTCGCGCCCGTACCAGACCGGGACCGGCAACGGGATCGCAACCCTCGGCGTTGCCCCCGTGCCTCACTCAGCCAGTGAGCGGGAACCGGTCTGTATGTGGGATCCGAACTCTCGGCGGGAGCGCAGCCGCACTTCCCAAGCGGCGCACTAGCGCAGTGCGCCACCAGGCCGGCCCAAAATTTGACATCAATTTCATTATTCAAGATTCCTAACATAATCCTGGCAGTAAAATCAATCTGACAATTCTTTAACTGCCTTCAAATGTAATTAGTTTAGCATAGGGACTTTTTCATCCAGTTGCTATCTTCTCCTTTCACAGATCCTTTTTGTTCCCCGTCCTCTAGCTATCTTGTAGCAGGAGGCTGCTGTGATTACAATGACCAGCTCTCTTCTTCTTATCACCAATCACAGCAACAGCAACATGGGGTATGTGCAGCACACCACGGGTTTTTCTTTGTGGTATTCAGCTAATAGCTCACTCATTTCTGAGTTCTTGAGAAAAGCTGAATAGGTTATTAGGCAAATGAGCAGGGCAGCAGCAGGGAATTTATATAGTGCATTTTCTATGGAGAAGTTGGTGGTCATTTATGGGAGAATCAACTTCTTTCCTTTTTAGGCTGATGTATTTTATTTAATGGAAGGGGTTACATATATTACAGACTCATTGACTCTTTAGGACCTGGAGGTAATCAGATCGAACCCTCAGTCTGCTTTATGAATTGTCAGAGTCCCAGATATATGACAAACTAGGTAAACTAAGTATCACCTGGAGGGGCTTAAGGTATGTTTTATTAACATACTTACAAATATGAGGAATTTACTCCTAAGGATAGTAACAGTATTATCAGTGGCCTTTCTCTAATTATTGTTAATAAATGGTTTTATTCTCAATTTTGTGAGCTAGGGCTCTTAACATATCCTTTTCATTGCTAGAGCGAAAGAGAGAACAAACATCTACCGAAGGACTGTTTGTGCCAGGCAAAGAATAGGTGCTCTGGTATGATAAACCATGTGATGCAGATTTGTGAATGAAGGGGCAGGTGCGGGGAGGAGAACCCCTACCACCCTGAAAGAACATATTATCATTCCCGTCATGTACACAGCAGCACTAACCTAGAGAGCTTGAGTGCTTTGTCAAGTTATTGGTAAGCTATTTTTGCTGCTATACCACATTCTTGAAAAAGCAGCAAAAGGAGGCAGAATAGTGAATGGTTCAGAGCAGGAGCTCTGGAATCACTCAGCATGGGCTCTACCTTGGAAACCTAGGCTCTCTAAGCCCCAGTTTCCTCATCTGGAAAAAATGGAGGTGATCAAGCTGCACAGGGTTGTTGCAGGGATTCAATGAGATATACACATAAATGCAAGTGAAGCACTTGGCTTGGAGTGAGTGCTCCACAAATGTCAGTGCTAATATTTTCAATGTCAGTGCTAATATTTTCCTTCAGTCTGATGAGAAGGAGTGGGAGCTGGAAGCCAAGGTCTCAGCTTGAGTTTCCAGTCTGACACCTACTCCATGTGCCAAACTGAGTAATAACAGTGAATTGTGATGAAGGTCATATATACTAGAGCATTTACATGTACAGACATAAACTTATGGTTTAGACAGAACTTTAGCTCACTTTAGTATGATGAGAGAAAAAATAGAACAAATTCCTGGTATCATCTTCATATTGTGTTTTATTATAGACTACTTTCAACTAATTTTTGTTGTTTTGGTTTTTTTGTTGTTGTTGTTGCAACTGGCCAGTAAGAGGATCTGAACCCTTGACTTTGGTGTTACCAGCACCACACTCTCCCAAGTAAGCTAACTGGTCGGCCCACTTTCAACTAATTTTCTTTTTTTTACAATGCTTTGTGAATTTAGTGTTTTTGATTAGCTTTCTAACTTTGCTTTTTTGGGGCGGGCGTGGTAGTGAGGAAGAGAACTTAGAAAGAATAACTCACTTATAAGATATGTATATCCAGGTCAGTTCCTAATACCGTACTAAACCACAAATGCAATTATAGGGCAGTTTGCCCTATGTCAAACTATGATTTTTGATTACATACTGTTTTATCATGAATACCGTTCCAAGCTAAAAATATTTTTCTTCCCTTTCAGTTTAATATCACAATAATATTTGTAACTACCATTTATTTTAGGCTCCTTAAGCACCAGGCACTACGCTACATGCTTTGTAATATTTTACTTAGTTCTCACAACTAACATGAGGTAGGTGTTATCAGCCCCATTTTACTGATGAGGAAATTAAGGCTCAGTAGCATTAAGCAACTTGGCTAAGGCCACACACAGCTTAATAAGTGATGGGTCTGTTTTGAATCCCTATTTCTCTGTTTCCAAAATCTTTCTGATTCCACGCAAGCTGCATGTTAGCTCATTAATACAGGTTTTATCACTTATTTCCAACCACTAGTAAAAGATATTTAAAGTTCATCTTGGAAAAGAACATACTCAGTGTATATTTTACCTTTTTCCAAGCACAACTGCTCCTGGGTCTTGAGATTTTGCCTCCAGCTCCTGAACTTCATCTACTAATGTTTTAAAAGCAGTCCTCTTGATACTGCCAAAAAAAAAAAAAAAAAAAAAAAAAAAAGGATTTGTATGGAAATACTAGGGTGAAGACTTTACAAAACTAGATGTCTGCTTTATTATCATGATGCTGGTAAGTACAGTGGTGACCAGAATATGAGCAGTTTCTCAATAGAATCTAAAAAATTACAGTAATTTTGAGCATTAATATAATTATAGGAAATATAAGTAAATATAGTTTTAAAATAAATGGTTTAGGTTTATAATATTAAAACTCTCATAGTTATTAAACATCATATAATTAACTTTAATGATACCTTTTTTTGTGGAAAGAAATAACATTTTAAAAGTTATAATCCTTGGGAAAAATTAGTAAAGTTTTTGTTTTTTCCATTCTATACATATGTTTTGAATCAGACAAGCAATTATTATTTAAAAAAAAAATATAAAAATTTTTTTTAACTAAAAATTTTTTTAACAACTATTAAATTTTTTTTCTTCTGGGTTTTTAGGCTGATTTCTAAAAAATGTACCCTCTAATGTAATTCTCTCCAATGCAATACACTTTGATCTTAATTGAAACTACCTGCTTTTTTCTTGTTTGGTCTTTTAAACTAATTTAGTTTTCTAGTTTCTGAATCACTCCTTCCTTCTTTATTTATTTGAAATTAATATTACTAGCTCCTGTTCTGCAAACTCTACATGTAACGAGTTGACATTACAACTAGCAAAATCTGAGGATTAATACGCATGGATACTTTTGTGTGCATGACTGAGTATTATACTTACACCTTGTACACCACATCAAGAAGCAAAGATGCCACAGGGATAAATAACAAGCCCGTCCAAAAGACTCCGGAACTAAACAACATGGCTGCCTGTGCAAATCATCAGAAACAACATTTCTTTAAAAGTCAATAAATTCATCATTCATGTTTAGTTTTTATATGATTTCAGGTAAAATAATTTTAAGAATATTATTCTGTAAGAAGGTATACAATAACTCTGGATTCAAACCCATGAAATATTTGGAATTAAAAGTCAAATGTTTAAAACATGCATTTACTATATCTTTTTTCCCCTCAAGTAGCTCATATAGTAAAGTTTTATCATGTACCAAATGTTCTTATATTTTTATATAAAATTTTTATTATTGTGGTTAATATACAGCGTAATAAACCTTGAACTTCCTTTATAACTTAGAATATCAAAATCAATGTTTCTGAGCAAACTAAAAATATACTTTGGTTAAAATTCTCTTATAATAACATGTAAAATAAATCCTAGTTGGAAACTGAATTTACTATTTCTGGCAAATGAAAATTAGCTTTACTTTTGTAAAGTTACAGGTTATTAAAAAAATCACCCAGATCAATCATGACTATAGCATAATCAAATTAAGATCTCTATGATAACAATTTGATTTTTGGCTAATATTAGGTAGGGATAATATTAATTTTTGTTCAATGATTTATATAACTTGTATCAGTGTATACCTGTTATTGCTAAAGTTAAAACAGATGCCTGCTATGTAAAATCCAAATAAGGGTGCATTAAAAATAACTTTAATAATTCCTTTGTATTAAATCCTAAATTGTTATATCAGAGACTTTTCGGTTGCTAAGAAAGTGATTCTGTGATTTAAAAAGTAATAAATTCTATTAGTTGTTTTCAATTATAATAAAAAATCTTTGTAACATAATTATACAGAGTTTAAAAGGAACAGTGTTGTACAAAAAAACCAAAAGAAATATTTTGGTTTCACTTCTTTGAGTCTATTTATCAAGAGTAAATTTGTAGGACCTATTCAAATCCATAAACATATTGTCATAATTCCATTAAAAAGTAGCCAACTAACGCATGCACATGTATATTCTACTAAAAATCACACAGGAAAAAAAAATTTTTTTTTAACCAGGTGTGGTTTGAATTAAAAATAACCTAGAGTTTAATTCTTCTAGGCAGTTTCACAGTTACCCATAAACAGTCCTAATAAATCCTTATCAAATATAAAGATTACTAATTATAAATTACGTTTCAGATTACGTATTCATTTTGATTCTCTACTGAGGACCAGGAACTGCTGTTTACATTTCTGCCCACATTAACATGGACTTATCAATACAGACCACTGCTTTAAGGATGCTAAGGTTTTTCACTGTATAGGACTGAATAGTTCTGAACACGTTTAAAATAAAAACATGTTATTACCAAGAATTTCAGAAAATAAATTTTGTCATGTGGGTTCAATGGACCAGCACCCATAGACTAGACACCGAGATGAAAAATTCACATAAAAGTCACTTTATTTAATAAGCAAAACATGATCTTCAACATGTTTGCCGACATCCTCAATAGTGAAAACCAACAATAATTATGTACTAGGAAATGTCTATCAAGTCAGTGGGTTTTATTTAGATTGAAGGAAGCTTTCTAGTAAGGTAACAACTGTAAAAAACCCCATTTCTTTTTCCTTTGGGGGGAAAAGGTAAGTTAAGATTCTAAGACATATAACCGAAAATACCATGTTTACTTGGCTTAATTTTAATATATTTTAATTTGGTAGGCAAGAGAAGATAAATTTATTCTTGACATCAGCACCTAGTATTAAATGTCCTCTGGTGAAAGCAGCAAAAGTGGTGGAAACTTGAGGCTGCTAATTCTGACCATTGTGATGTTAACTATGGGGGAGCAATGGGCACCCACTATTCAGTTCACCAGCCTTTGGCTTTACAAATGAACAACATGAATTGAGGGGGGAAAAAAGTTTTTCTGCGTCATATCTGAAAGCCTGTCAGATTTTTTTTTCTTTTGCAGAGTTAATCCAAATCTAAAAGATTTAAAGCCGGCATTCGCATTAAAGACAGAGTCTCTTTGTATTTTTTGGATGAAGAGAGGGGGAAAAGAATAAAATCCCACAGAGGTATTTCCTTCCTTTCTGTACAAGAAAGCTCCCCCTCACTCTGTAGCAACCAGTTTTGTCTCTAACTTTTCACATCTCCGCACTCGCAGGCAGGTCAGCTGGGAAAAGGCGACTGATCCCGCAGACAATGGTGGTGACAGGAGCAGCCTGTTGGTGGCTGGGCTCCGGCTCCCCCTGAGAGCAGTCTGCAAATTGCTCCTAATGTGGGAGGTTGGTGGGCCATGCCAAGTGGCCCCCGCTGCCCCTCCTTAAGGCCCTGTGAAACCAAATGGAATCTGCCAGAAAAGTGGCTCCCGGGGGACTTGGGAAGGGATCAGCCGACAGGGCTGCAAAGCTGGTAAATGGGAGGGCACAAGCCCTGAGCGCGGAACAAGCAACTGCTTGTCTCTGCATAGAGATGCTGGCTCAAAATTGGACCACTAGGGTTTCAAAAATAAACCGATGCTGCCTGCAAATGCAGCTTGTGGCAGGGGAATTGTCCTGAAATTTCCATGTGAACTTGCAGAGAAAGAGTGTTTGAGAAAATACACACTTAGGTGCATTTGGTCAAGCCAAGGGCACGCCCAGACAAGAGGGGCTTGCCTTCTGACCCACAATGGGGTGATCCATAAGCACCTACCTTCCCACACCATCACTGCCAATGTGCCCACGTTCAGTCTCGTGGGAGAGAGAATTCAAACCTGCCATTGCCTCTAAACCTTTAAGATGTGCTTCTTAAGACTATGTCTACTTTTACACTATGAAGGTCAGAGTGGTGCACTGTGACTCTTACTCTATGTATAGATAGATGACTTGCAAAAGAAGAAGGCCCTTTGGAGAACCCTAAGACTATATCCACGGACCCCAGTGGCAGCAGGTTTGGTGATAAACAGCCCTGGAAGTGGTCCTGGCTCTGCCTTCCCAGCTGTCAGCCTCTCAGGAAGTAACTTCTCAGTCTCAGTTTCCTCAGCTGTAAAGTGGATCGTAAAGAATTAAACCCGATACAGTGTGTGAAGTGGCTGCTTTTATTATCAACACTGATTATTAACAAACTTTCCTTTCTTCATTTTAATTTTAAAATTTCTTTTAACATTTTTTAGTTTCTTGTTTTTTTCTAGTGACCTGGCCCATGGGATTCAAGGAAGGAAATTAAAAATTTTTTAAAATTTATTATTAGCATATTCATTTTTACAAATTGTGATATTTCTTTATGCCCTTTGCCTGCCCCATTACTTCCCAACCTCCCTCCCTCCCTCCCCTCATCTCTAGTATCCTTAGGTTTGTTCTTTCCTTCTGAAAGTTCAAGGTATCATTGTGGTCTTTTCTTTCTTTCTCCTTCATTCCTTCCCTCCAACCTCCCCCCGCCGCCCCAAGGAAGGAAATTTTTATCACATTACCATTAAGTGTAAGTTAGTTTATAAATATCATGGTTTTCATCACAACTATATCTCAATATATGCTGGTCTCAACATAGGCCAAAGTAACTGATCACTAATAAAATAACATTGATTTCAATTTACTAATTTAGAAAATAAAGATAATTTTTCTTATAGAAATTATTACTGACTGCATAATAATAACATATTAACTTGAGAAGGGAAAATTATGCAGAAAACAGTACTGCATAACTTGGTTAGTTATATTTTTTGGAGGGGAGTGTAGCAGGAGAAATTAATAAAAATTCCAGAGGAGTTAAGAGTTAACATTAGCAACTACAACGACAATAACAAAACAAACCAAGAAGTGATTATTAAGTGTCTGGATAAAGTTTTCTATAAGGGCTTTCTAAACTTAAAAACAGTTTTAAAAAGCTACAAAAGGAAATGGTTTAAAGAAACTGATTCACAAAAATGTAAAACTTCCACATGTTCAAAAAGAACATAACAAAAAAAGTAAATGATAAACAAGAAACTGGGAGAATGACTATTACAAACACATGAAATTCTTTGGTAAAATCTGATCATAAAAATAGTCCATTTACATCTTCATAAGAATAGCGGAGATCCCAACAGATAGGCACAAAACCAGGAAAGGTGTTCACAAAAGCAGCAACAAGTAATCACTAACATGGGAAAGTGTTGAGCCACTCTGTAATGGCAGAAACACTGCCAAATTAGATTTTAAAAATTCACTACCACAGTTTGGGGGAGGCATACGGGGGAAAAGGTATTTGTAAAAATTTATATTTCCGCCACCAATGTACTAGCCTTTGGGAAAGGTATTTGGTAACAAACATTCATTTCTGTTAATTTGATAATTCAATTTCTGAACTGTGTGTTAAAATGAGGTACAGTTTTTGCTCATAGATTAGTATCTCATGAAACTGTTCTGTAGTCACTAGTGCTGAGAGCACGCCTTTCCTGCAAAGGGCCCGTGGCACAAGGTTAAGCACAGGTGCAAACAGACCACAGCAGTACCCTCTTGGAGAGTCACAGGCAGAGGAGTAGTTAAGCCTTTGAGAAGTCAGAGTAAAGAACCCTATCGAATAGTTTTTTAAACTGAAGTTTCCCAGATGTATTTATCAATCATGGGATACTTTTCCCCACAAACTACTACTAACACCTCAAGGAACTAATTTTGGGAAGTGCAAATATTCATTGTCGGTTCTTTTAACTAACAAAACATTAGCGAAAGTAACAGGTCATGGTGTGGCTGGCTAAGTTAATGCACATCCGTATGAGAGAATATCGTCTAGGCTGTTAAAGATGCTGCTTGTAGAACGTAATTATTAGAAAACTGATCATTCGGAAGAGTCTTGCATAAAGGGAAAGGAAAATTGGTCAGGTATTCCCTCAGGAGCCTTCTGTTCCCAACTAAACACCCTCCCTGGGAAGTCTGCGGTTTCTCTTATCTACACATGAGAATCACCCACAGCTTAGATCTCCCGCCTGTACCTCGAACACAGACCACCCAGCTCTGAACGTGAATGCTGCACAGACACCTAAACCTAACACACCCCAAACTGAACACAAACTG